ACTAACGGGATGCATTCCCACAGAGGTAGTTTAAAATCTATTTTTTCGTATAAAACTAAAGCGATAAACGTAAATGTGACGTCTTGCTCATCATATTGGCTATGAGTATGCTGGTCCGACAGAACACCGACCCGCTCCATCAGAACCAGTTTCCTCTGCTGCTTCCCTTTAGAAACAGTTTGGGTGGTTCTGAACGTCCAGCACCGCCAGAGGGAAGAAAGCAGAACCAGAATGGATCCGGATCAGAACCTGTTCCCAGGAATGGGTTCTGATGACCTTTGGCTTTTACTGGGCAAAAGAACCAGAGTTGACAGAACCGTGGTTAGTCTAGAAGCCGATGGAGGATGTTTAGGAAGCAGAGAGATGGGTCCATTCTGCTGCTGAACCGGGTCGTGTGTTTGTGTTGCAGTTCTGGCTCAGAGAGGCTACCTGAGGGAGAGACCCTTCATCAACTACCTGAAGTACCTGCTGTACTGGAAGGAACCTGAATACGCCAATTTCCTCAAGTAAGTCCAGCTGCAGAACCTCGTTTCACAGGTCCAATACCATCCTCCTGTATCTCAGTCATTGGTTCTGATTCTGACAGTAGATGGGACGTAGTGAGGTTTTCCCTGATCCAGTCAGGGTCAAATGTTCTTCATGGTTCTGGATTTCAACTGCGGTTCTGTTTGTGTTAAAACTGTGTGTGCCGGACCGATTAAACTAATTTCCTTTATACGATCGCTCTTATTGAGCTCTGAATTATTGCAGCACAGTTTCAAGTCGTCTCCACCAATGAGGTTCTGAAGGAGGCGTTTGGGTCGGCGGGTCTAAAGGCCCGTCTCAATGTCTTTTAAACCCAGTAACTGGTTCTGACTGCACTGTTTTTCTGAAAGGTGACGGCGCCCTGCTGCTGGTATCTTTTACCGGGCGTGCCGTACTGAGCATGTGCAGAGCGGGTAAACCAGGAAGTAAGGGGGCTAGGCTAATTAGCACCTCCCAGTGAAGTCGGATAAAACCAGAACAATTCTGACCCAGTCTGAAGGTCGATGTTCTCTGAAGCTCGAGAGCTGATGGATCCCATCGAGTGAAAAAGCTGCTGTCAGTCTGAGAAGAAAAGGGGGCGGGGCTAATGAGGATCAGACTCAGTTTTGTAATGAAGGAAACAGATTTATGATGCATTTTATTTGCGTTCTTCCAGTGAAGGTTTTATCCTCTTACCTTTTTTATTTCCTTCCTTTGATACCGTTTATCTGTGAGTGTTAGGAACAGGAGTTTCTTTCTTTCTTTTTTTTTTTAGCATAATGATACTGAAGCGCCAAAAGTGCTAAATTGATTATGTATATGTAATAATTACACATGACATGATATATATTGGCAAATCATCTTTTTTCCTACTCAAATTAAGGGTAAATACACCTCATTTACGATATTTTGACTTATTTTTAGATAGTTTTTGCAGAGTAAAGAATCGTTTGGGATCCAAACAGGTTCTTCTTCTGCTTTACCCAGAGGTCTAAGCGTCTCTGCTCTCCCACAGGTACCCTCACTGCCTCCACATGCTGGAGCTGCTGCAGTACGAACACTTCAGGAAGGAGCTGGTCAACGCCCAGTGCGCCAAGTTCATCGACGAGCAGCAGCTGCTGCACTGGCAGCACTACTCCAGGAAGCGCACGCGACTGCAGCAGGCGCTGGCCGAGCAGCAGCAGCCGCCGCAACAGCCGCCGCCGCACGGCAACGCCGCCGCCAAGTGATGGACGTTATGCAGAAGCAGCCGTCCCTCTGTGGTACTGGTCCGATCCGTCTGTGGACTTCTGTAGGATGAAGCTGCAGCTCATCTGAAGCTGCTGATGTTCAGCAATGAAGCTGAAGTCAGAGTTCAGCAAAATCCAGCTTTGTTTCCTGTTTCTGCTGCGTTCTGCTTTTGTAATAAAATGTTTTGGTTCAGCTGGTTTCCTGGAACAGATGGAGTCATTTCAGCAGCAGAACCTGAATTTCTCTGGACCAGGTGCTGCATCGGTTCCCTGAGCAGGACCCTCTGCCCTCAGAGCTTCCTGGGAGGGGCTTCCTGGGGACGAACTCACTGCCATCAGCATGGAAACTGACTGATTTCAATTCTGTTTTTAAATCTGGCTGAAGTGTTATCGTCCAGTCACTGAGTAAGGCTTTGGAGAACAGAAACAGGAAAATAGATCATCTCAGTTTTTCTCTCTGTGAAATTGTTGCATTTTTATTTTGACTTGAACATAGCTTTTTATTAATAATCAGCCTATAGTTGTTTTTTCTTTCTCCACTGCTGCGGTTTAATGTCTTAGTTTTATATTATTTACCCAGCCCCAAGTTAAAGGTCTGTAATATTTTGTCTTCTTGCTTCATCTTCTCTGATACACAGATTTCCTCAATATAAAATAAAGGGTTTTGTTTTGTATTATCCTTATTTTGATAATGAAATCCCCCCTTTTATTATGAAGGGTCTAAAGCGGAAGTTGTCTCGATATGGCGGAAGCGGGGCGAGCCCAGCTGTTTCCATGATTCTTGGTGAACATTTCTATGTGTAACACTTGTTGTAAACTCCTCGGTGTTGTGTAGTGAGTCGCTCCACGGTAGAACCGGTTCGTCCTGCAGGAGTCCAACCGAACCGCAGCGGAACCAACCCGGACATTAACCTCGGTAACAGATGATCTGATTGGTTATTATTGATCAAACGCTGCCGCTCTGAGCGGAGCGGCTGATTGTTACTATCATCAGTGTCTTTCTACGCAGGCGCAGTTTGTGTTTTCTTTTTGACAGATTCTGTCCATCTGTGGTTCGGTATTAAAGTTCTGGTTCCGTTTTTCTAACAAAGTGTCTCGGCCCTGTGTCTCGGGTGATCCGGTGTTGTTTCAGGGGTCAAAGTCCGAACCGGGTCAGAAACCAGTGAGTAGCAGGGCTGCTTATTAAACCATTTTTTTTCTTCTATACGGCAGAAAGTTCTGGAAAAGATAAAGTGAAAAGTGACCCGGTTCGGAAGAAGTCAGCTCACTGGTTTAAATCAGTTCAGGACGTTTCTTCACAGCGGGCAGCCATTTAGGTCCAGTTGGACCCATCATCTGGTGCTTTGAGTTCTGAAAAAGTTAGACCACCGGTCCGGTCCAGTTGGTTCTGAACAGAGTTAACCACGGCTCAACCTTTTCTGTCTCTTATGGAAGAGGATTAGGGCCACTGCATTTTATTTATTCATTTTTTTAAGTTAATTGATTTTTAAATTTTATTTCAATATAATATGAGAAAAAAGTCAGAATTCTTACTTTAATCTCAGAATTCTGACTTTTTTTCTCCCAATTCTGACTTTTTTTCTCCCAATTCTGACTTTTTTCTCAAAATTCTGATTTTAATCTCAGAATTCTGACTGAATTCTGACAGCTAACCAACATGTTAGCATAAAGCCGTAGCAATGTCTGTTTTAGAGACCAAACTAGCTCTCTTGTTTTAATCCACTTCTGCTCTTCCATTAATAAAATAGCACCATTGAGGAACCCTCTGGCACATAAAAAGTCACCTAATTGCGTCATTTTCCACCAATGTGTCACTGCCCCCTCCAAACAGCTCACATCTTTGTCAGTGAAGCTGAGTGCTCCCACATATCTTCCTTCATGGTGCCCATCTACATTAGGATCCAATATTATGACATTAAAGTCAGAATTCTGACTTTTTCCCCCTTATTAAGCTGAAATATTTAAAAATCAGTTAACTTTTTTTGTTTTTTCAGTGGCCCTAATTCTCTTCTGTAATCTCTGCATCATTTTAACATGTTGATATTTTTAGGATCAGTTTAATGAACGTTAACAACATCATGGTTCTGTTGCTACTTTAAATGGTACCGGAGGAACCAGAACCCACGGTCCAGGTTCTGAAGTTCGGTCGTTCCTAAAGTCTGGAACTTGAATATACTTGGTTTACAGAGGTACGGTTCTGCTTTCTATAGATCTGATCTGCGTAATGGACGGGTTTCTGGAGAACCGACCCAACACGAGAGGCTATCGGACCATTGAAGAGCCCCGAGGCTCCATTTGGAAACAGGTTCTGGACGGTAAAGTGAGGATCTGATGATCCACTGCAACTCATAGATCCAACAGAACCAGAACCCCAGTCAGCAGCTTGATGGTTAACAGGGTTTCATCTGAAACCCAGAAGAAAAATAAACTCTTTGGTTTTTAAGACGATCAGAGGTTCCCCATAATCTCTGGATCTGGTACCAGAATCAACTCTTGACCCAAATGATTGATCCATTTTCCAGATCTAAAGAACCTCCATGGTGTAATATTAAACTAGAGGCGATTTTCACTTTGGACTCTGGGTTCGGTTCGGTTCTCCGTTGATGAATTTGTTCTTTTATCTCTAACTGGACAGAACCTCTGAGGCAGAGTCTAAACTCCAGAACAGATTATTAACCCGACTGTTCCAGCGAGTAACTGGAACAATCTGGGCTTGGACCTACAGTCCAGTCAGAGAGCAGAACCTCCAAACTATTTGACCTGCATCCGATCTGTTTGAGAGGTTCTGGTTCTGTAGACGTCAGGTTCTTTTCCATTAAAGCTGCAGGATGTTCAGGAACCTTCTGGGATTGATGTCCGGCCCAGATCTTTAATCCAGGTTAGTTCTGGGTTTACAGAACCGCCTCCGGACTTGTAATGTTTGTCGTTGTCCAGGTGGACCGGGTCACCAGGATGCTGCAGAGGGTGGCGGTGGTGGGGGCGGGGGCAGCCGGACTCTGTGCGGCCCGGCATGTTCTGGCCCGGCCCGGCTTTGCCCCCCCGGTGGTGTTTGAGCTCAGCGGGAATGTGGGCGGAACCTGGTGCTACGAAGAGCGGGTCGGGTCGTACCCCAACGGGCGGCCGGTGCTGAGCAGCATGTACCGGGACCTCAGGTAGGTTCACCTGTCCGCCAGCAAGAGGTAGCATTCCTGAACCCGCATGACCCGGTTCTGTGTCCAAACAGAACCAACCTGCCTAAAGAGGTGATGATGTTCCCCGACTTCCCCTTCGAGCCGCAGCTGAGCAGCTTCCTGCCCCATCAGGAGGTCCAGCGGTACCTGGAGCGGTACTGTGACAACTTCGGGATCCGGCCTCACATCCGGGTGAGTCGTCGGCCCGATCCGAGTCCAACAGAACCTCCAGTTTGTGTGGCCGCCTCATGTTTCCTTCTCCTTCAACAGTTCAACTCGGCGGTGGAAAACATCACGCCCGTTACCATGACGACAGACAGCGAGGGGAGGAAGCTCACCTGGGAAGTGACATCAGCGGATTCATCGGGCTGCCTGAGAACCGAGGCGTTTGACGCCGTGTTCATCTGCTCAGGGTGAGACCCATGTTACCACGGTAACTGAATCCTGACCTCTTTATCGCTGACCGCATCATCAGAAAATAAAAGGTGGATTCCTTTTAAGGATCATTTCAAGCAATTCTCTACATTTTAAACATGTTCAAAACAGATGAGACATTAAGCCCTGAAGGTCTTATGATCAAACTCTGCCTGAATTAAAGCAAGTACAGCTCCAAACTATAAATTGGAAATCCAATTGTTTGTATTTGTTAGACAGAAAGGCTTTGAGGAATATGTTTCAGTTGGAACCACTATTTTAAATGTAACCATGTCTGATTTATAGGTGATTAAACGAAGACAAAATGAAAATTATTTAGCCGTCCAAAATGAACACCGCACACCATGAAATCTCATTTGAAACTCTGGACGAAACCTTCAGACTTTATAGATCCACATCTTTTGGGCTGAACAAGTTAAAGCATGTTTGTTCCACAAAGGTTTGGTGGGCAGTGTGGTAGGCAGAAATGGGATTTTGACACAACACCAAAAGTGCAAAAATGCATTTTTTCACTCATAAGAGGGAATCTGGTCAGACAAATATGCTGATTTACGTTATTGGAGACCTATTGGAAAAGACAACGCCTTTGCTCCTAAGATTTAGCCGTTTTGTATTTAAAATTTACCAATAATATCACCAAACTGAATAGAAAATAATAACAGAGTAAGGTAATGTAACGCATGCAAGTTCCATCACCTGAAACGGTCGCACAATTACCTCCGACCCCTCCTTGGAAAGGTCTGAGCCTCTAGTTTCCAATGATGCCGGCCATTAGGGGGTGTGGCTTTAAATTAATACCTGCTGTTGCATTACTCCCACAGAGTCACACATGTCAGTTGGAAGTATAACTCTCATTTTATTTTTTTACACAGCTATAAAACTAAAAGTACTTGTGAAAAAATAATTTTTAAACATGTTTTAGAAACTCAAAAGCCCCAATTGACAGTCGTGTGGATGAAACACCATGTGACTGTGTTTTGGCCATTTCTATAAATAGATAAACATAAGCAGGTGTCAGTTGGACCCTTTGCCGGACCAGTCAGGCTCAGGTGTTAATTCATTTGATTGAATATGGAGTTACATCCTGTCACTAAAAGGCTTTCAATGTTTAAATCTATATAGTAAGTCAATATAGCTGATTATATTTAAAGTCGTAGGGAAGCGGCTGTTCCAAATGTTGCATTTCCGAATTCTCCCGAGAGGTGTCCGACTTTACACAAGTAAATAAAGTGAATGTGATTGGTCGATTATCAAGAGGTCGGGATTGTTGTGGCGGAAAGTTTGCAAGCAAGTTTGATTAAGGCTGGTTTGTCGGAAAAATTTTGCATTGGGAAATTCCATTAGGACCAAGTAGCACTAAATTGTTGACTTAAAAACAACACTTTCAAGGAACGCTATGGACAGAGGAAACATGCAAGAGGAGGAGAGTTTGGTGTCGGAGGTCGTGGATGAGTCTCCTCCAGGATATTTATATACATGTTTAAGCCACAATGACTTGACATTTAAATATTTCCCTATGACTATAAGATGTGCATTTGCATTTGGTGACATCTGATGTTAGAAAGTTTGCAGAAGAAGAAACCAGAACCATGGATCCACGGTTTTACTGCAGGTGTCTGAAAGCAACAGTTCAGCAGAGATCAAGGCCCCTAAATACGCCGCCTACGCACTCACCCTCCGTTTACGACTCCCCTTCGCAATGTCCGCCCAGGCAGCAGCTTTTCCAGAAAACAGCAGTTCTACATTTCTGTCTGTTTCTCATTTATTATTAGATAAACAATCTTTGTAAAAATGAAGCTTATATCGGCCCCCTTTGCACCCAAGACAGCCACAAGATGTTGAAGCTGAATAGAAAGCAGGTAACAGGAGTTTGCCAAATGTTGCAGCCAGCCTTGTGCCTTTAAACCTGCTCCATAGAGCTACAGCCATTCACATTTGGCATCTGTGTTGTCATAGCAATGCCTGTTTTCCATCCCCGTGTGGGGCGTCCCGTTTCTCATTTATAGTAACTACAACTTCCTTCTTTTTAAGGCAGAATAATGATTTTTAGGTTGTTTTTTTTTTCTCTCTTCAGGCATTACTCTGACCCTCACATCCCGCAGATCCCAGGGATCCAGAACTTTAAAGGTACCGTGGTTCTGCTTCACACAGTGAAGGTCAGAGCAGAATAAAGAAGCTCAGTGAAACACTGTTTGTCCGCAGGAAAGGTTCTGCACAGCCACTCCTACCGCTGCCCTGAGCCGTTCTCGGGTCAGACGGTGGTGGTTCTGGGAGCTAAAGCTTCTGGACTGGACATTTCCATAGAACTGGTCAAAACCGGAGCCAAGGTACCATCAGCCGTAGAGTTTATTAGAACAATAAAACGTTCTTCAGAACTGAGCATGTCAGCCTTTTTCCTGTCTGATGACATCATAGGCTGACTCGGGCTGAACCAATAACCAGCTGGTCTCTCTGCAGGTCATCCTGTGTCACCGCTACGCTCCACTGGCCGTTCCTCTTCCTGCTGGGATTCAGGAGTCCAGCTCTGTGGTGGCGGTGGACGAGAACGGCAGCATTCGCCTTCAGGTGGGCTACCCTCTTCCAGCTCACTCTGGGCGCTACAGCCCAAAAAGCCAATCTATGATTCTTTTCCTACAAAATCTGACCAAAACAAATATAGTTACAGTTCATAATAAAAAACTTAATTGATGTATATTTTTTCAAACTTTCGCTTTTATTTAAATCATCCTCTCTAGGAGCTGATCTTAGTCTAAACGGCAACGAAATTCAAGCTGAAAAATCCTGTAAAATATTCCTGTTTGACCTCAAACAATGAAAATGTAAATAATTAAATGTTAGCAGCTGGTTGATCGAACAGTGAGCTGGTTTATCAGTAATGAGGAGACGTCTGCAGGTGATGAGCTGATGTCACGATGGACGCCGAAGGGGAGGATTGATCGGGAAAAAAGCTTGATTTTCTAGAAATGAAATCTTAAAGAAAGAATCGATTGAAGGCCCAGGCCCGTCCGCTCAGACAGTTCTGGTTCTGAGGTCATCTGGGTCTCGTTGATCATGTTGATATTAACCCGGCCTCTGATTGGTTTAAAATGTTCCCCTTAGGACGGCTCGCAGTGCCGGGCTGACGTCCTGATGTTCTGCACCGGCTACAACTTCAGCTACCCCTTCCTGGACTCTGCCCGGCTGGGTCTGGAGATCCAGGACCATGTGGTGTCCCCGCTGTACCGCTACATCCTGCCTCCTGCCTTTCCCTCGCTCTTCTTCATCGGCATCTGCAAGATCATCTGCCCCTTCCCCAACTTCAACTGCCAGGTGGGCCGGAGCTTCTGCAGGTCGAGTTTTAAAAGCCAAAGCTTGCTGCTGACTTCTCTCTGTTCCGCAGGTCCAGTTCGCCTTGGCCGTGTTGGACGGGTCCGTCACCCTGCCGCCTCGGGAGCAGATGGAGGAAGAGGTGCAGAGGGAGCAGCAGACCAAGCTGGGGCGCGGCGTCCAGCAGAACCACCTGCTGAAGATGGACCAGGATCAGTGGGAATACTGCGACGCGCTGGCCGATGCCGCCGGCTTCCCGCCGCTCCCGCCGGTGGTCCGGAGCCTGTATGAGGAGGTGTGGCAGCAGAGACGGGTCCACCCCGAAAACTACAGAGGATTGAACTACAGGATGGTTAGCGCCACCCAGTGGGAGCGGATCAACTGAGGACGGTTCAGGAAAGAACCGGGACAGATCCACTCTGTAGGACGTTCCTCTGAGAAGGTCCAGCTCGTCCTCCTTATGTTCTCCATCCTGCCTTTTCTCAGTGTGGTCGTACTCTGGCTCCACCTACTGCTCATAGAGAAGAACTACACCCTGAACTACCTCTATTAATTGAATTAATTAATTCACTGCATTTCTTCTTTGTCTCATGGTTTCCACCATGTGTTGCACTTTAAAGGCTGATTATCTTCACAGATAATTATTTTAGATCTAACATTAAGTTTTACATCATTAAAAAATGAAATTATTTCCATCCATTTGTTCCCAGAGGCTTCAGCTTCTGATCTAAATGTTTACTTTGATGTTCTGTTTAATTTGAATAAAGACTTTTGATCAAGATTCCTTTGTTTAAAAGTTCAAATCCTCTTTTAAACCCTTCCTTTAAGGCCAGCGTGAAGGTCTTTGGACCAGAAGACCTGCAGACAGGAACAGCAAACATCCAGAACTGGATGATGAACATGTGACTCAAACTGTCAGGGACCCACAGGAGGAACTTGCCAGGTTCTTTCAGAATCCTCCATGTTCTAGCCAAAGTATGTTATCTTCTATTTGATGGCCTCCAGATTCTCCAAGAATGAAATAAAAAAAGGACTTTGAAGTTCAAAGGGTAAACATGTTGATTCAATTTAGTCTATTTCTATACCTCAAACCCCCATCAAATCACCTCAGGTCACTTTATAGATCCAGATCAATCAACTTATCTAGCTAGATTAAAAGTTCAAAGGTTCCATCCAAGGAAAAGCAGCTGATTGCATCCAGTCATTGACTTTAAAGGATTCTCTCCTCCTGGATGAGCAGGACGAGACAGGAGATACTTGGCTGAATCTCAAACCAACCCCTAAGCACTAACCCTTTACCTACACTCCCAATGAAGTCTCAATCACAGCTGTGGAAGGCGTCTAGATTGTACATGGGGGGCATAGACGTGAATGGGATGGCCTCTTTCCTCCAACAGGAAGAGAAAGCAGTCGTTGCTATGGTAACGCAGTGTGCAGTGATTCTAGCTCTGTGGCACAGCTGAACATAACATCAAATATTTGCCATTTTCTTGAAAATAAATCTATGCAGTCAAAACAGTTTGAAAGAGGACCTTCTATTTAGGGATCAATGACCTATTTTTTCTAATTTTGGATTTTTTTATCAGTGAGATGAAGATAGATACACTGCCAAATTCAAGTCGCCCTTTCTTGCCCTACCCACTATGTGGTCTGGGATGGCCCTTAATGTGACAGACCCTCTGCGGAAACACACAAATGGAGGGTTAGTCATTGATCCCTCACACCAAGCATGCATGCAGCGACAGCGGAGGGGAAAACTCCCTTTAACAGAAAGCTCCAATAGAAAAAGAACCAGGCTCAGTGTGAGCAGCCATCTGCTGAAGCCAAATGAGGTTGAAGTTCTATCTGGGCCACCTGTGGATAAACTCTAATCCAGTTCTCATGTCAAAGGATGAAAGAGAGCAAATCCTGTCTGTCACAGTAAAAGCTGAGCCCAAAGCTATGTCTAGGCGAGAAACAGGACTAAACACTGAAAAAAGGCCAAGCTCCAATATCTATAAACAATGGTGTTGATGGCAGCAGCACAGCAGATATTTCTCTCCAGGATGGAGTCACAGCCAAACAGGGACAGACCAGATGAAGCTACTATGAAAAAAAGCAGAGAGAGGATAAAGTTAGAGGTTGAAATAACCAATACTGCAGAATGAGAAAATAGAGATAGGATGAAACAGAATGATGAAAAATGGGTCCCTATGTCCTCCAGCAGTCTAAGCCTATAGCAGCATAACTTTAGAGATAGCTCGGGATAACCTGGGCCACTCTAACTACAAGCTTTATCAAAAAGGAACGTTTTAAGCCTAGCCTTATAATAAAAAGTAGACAGAGTGTCTGCCTCACAGACTAAAACTGGTAGTTGGTTCCACACTAACAGATCTGCCTCCCATTCTATTTTTAGACATTCTCGGAACCACTAGTAAACCTGCAGATTGAGAGCGTGCTCTGATTGTTCCTTGTGTTTGGAACATAAGAAATAATCAAATATCTGATATCAAAAAAGAGCTTGGTTATTTAAGGCTTTATATGTGAGAAGGAGGATTTTAAACTCTATTCTGGATTTAACAGCAAGCCAATGAAGAGAAGCCAGAATAGGAGAGATATGATCTATGTTTTTCATTTTCAAAAGAACTCTGACTGCAGCATTTTGCATTAGCTGTAAGATTTTATTTAAAATATGCTAATATAATTGTTTAAACTTTTTTTTTTAACCAATTGGAGTTATTTCAATTCGATTATAATGATTCATGAATTCAGGATTTTTTTTTTTTTCTATTTTATATGATTTAGAAAAGCTGCAGAGAGGTGAAACTATGACTCTGTTTCCTAGTCTGCACCTTGGACTGTTAGGTTTTTAATGGGCTAATATATTTGGGCAAATTCCTAGAAAGAAGGATCCTTACAAAGTGGACAGAAAATAAAGATAATTGGAGCTAATCTGAATTAACTTTAAACACAACTAATGTTGTGCAGACGCCAGAATATCCCTCACACTGAATGAAGAAAACCTACATTGAAAAATAACATTAACATTTAATCAACTTTTTAAAATTACTTCTGTTAGATTGATTGAATGATTAGTTGATTGATTGATTGACTTTATTGATCTCACAATAGAGAAATTTACTTGATACATCAGCTCAAATAGTCAAAAAGAAGAAGGTGCCAAAGAAAGAAAAGGTGCATGGGGGTATATCTACACACACACACACACATATAAAATATACGGTAATTAAAAATAAAAAGCACACGCACAGGGCTACCTAGTGGTACAGTTTGTAGCACTGTCACCTTGCAACAAGAAGGTCCTTTGTTTTATTCCTGAATCAGTGTCTTTCTTTATGCTCTCCCAGTGCATGAGTGTTAATGAATTAGCATCTCCAAATTGTCATTAAATGTGTGTACATGGCTGTGTGTCTCTGTGTTTCCCTACTAAGGACCGGTGACCTGTCCAGGTTCAATCCTGCCTTTTGTCCATAGACTGCCAGAGACAGACGCCGGCCCCATCGTGACCCTGATGGATGAAACAGGAGAAGCTGGACGGACCATAAAAAGATCAGTTCCAAATAATTAATGACTATAGACACAAAATTCATAACCAGCGTTTTCTAAGCAGGTGCTTCTTTTGTTCTTGTGTGAGGAGTAGTTATCTCACATTTGGAAAGTTGTGGGTTTGAGTGGAATGTTTTCCAAGTGGGTTAGAGCAGTTCTCTGAAAAGGTTGCAAGTACCCACTCTGGGTCTTTTAATCCCACACTGCATTTAACCCATTCCCTTGGGGATGAGTTAACGGCAGTGATACATTTCTCCAGTCTGAGATCAATAAAGTTGAATTATTGTATTTGATTTCCCTCCTGGGTTTGATTCTCGTCCTTCACCCCAAGTTGTTTTAATCTGTCTATTGATGGATGAATGTGCCCTCTAAATTCTGTCGATTTATATCACAACATGTGTTACCACTCGTTAAACGTTATGAAGGATTTATGCAGGTGAAGATTCTCAGTCATCCAGGTCATATTTATTCCGTAAAATTGAGAAAGCTTCCTGGAGGGGAAGCGAAACGTCAGCCAAGTCTAGTGGATTGTTTTTTTGTTTTTTTTTTGTTTAAGTTTTAAGGAAAATTATGAAGGATTGATGATCTTCAGGGTTCAGTTCCTCCAAATCTCCTCCATTAATTATCTCTGTAATCTGTAACAACAGATTGGGATTACGGTATTGTTCTTTGTTTTTGATTTTTTGTTTACATTTAGGTGTAGCAACAGATGATTTTAAGGTTGATAGGAATAAATTATCATATTTTTGAAGACTGACCTTTGAACTTGGGAAGTGAATGTTTTAGTTAATTTAGCTTTGATTCTTCAGAAATGGTAATCCTGAGAACAACTGATCCAACAGATTGATTTAATGAGGATTAATATCAATTAGGGAGACTTTATATTGTTAAACACCGGTTACCTACCTTGAAATGCTTCAGAACCATGCGTTTGCTGGGTTAATTCTATATTGCGTCAAAATTAGATTAAATGTCCCATTAGTTCATAGATAAGGTGTAGTGGTTTTCTGAACGGCCAAACAAAACAGAGACAACCTGAAATGATCTGTATAGTAAGGCTGCTATAGGCTTAGACTGCTGGAGGACATAGGGAGCCATTTTTTATCATTCTGCTGTATTTGTTAGTTCAGCCTCTAACTTTATGCTCTCTCTGATTTTTATCATCATAGTAGCTTCATCTGGTCGTTTCCTATTCAGCTGTGACACCATGCTGAAGAGAAATATCAGCTGTGCTGCTTCCATCAACACCTAAGAATATAAATTATAGAGATGGGCCTATTTTTCAGTGTTTACTTCCGTTTCTCTCCCAGACATAGCTATGGGCTCAGCTTTTACTGGGACTAACTGGATGTACTCTCCTTCATACTTTGACAAAAAAACGTCCTCAGAGATCATCTGATTAACTATTTCTTTCTCAGACAGAGCCACCCATGGAGTTGGTTTACTGTTAGATTTTCCTCATTGAAAGTATTTATTAGATCAGTGCTTCTATGCTCCGTTTCTATCTCTGCCTCTGTCTTCATGAACCCCAGTCGGCCTCAGCAGAAGGTCTCTTCCTGGGTTGTTTTCCTCTCCACTGTTGCTACAAGCATTCTTGGTGTGAGGGATTGCTGAAGAGTCAGTGACACAATCCGGGTAAATATCATCCATCTCTACTTGCTCATCCAGGAGGAGAGAATCCTAAAAAGTCAATGACTGGATGCAATCAGCCGGTTTTCCTTAGATAGAAAAATTCAAACCAATCTGTTTTGTTAAATGAAGCTAGAGAAAAAAACAGAATTTAATAAAATGGATCTTTATGAGACCATGAAGGATCAAACACACTTTAATTCTTACACAAAAACACCAAAACACACAAAATAATGAAACTGACCTGAGATTGACAAAACAGCAGGAATGTTCAAACACACAGTACTTTGTTCCTGGTCTCAGTTTCTCCATCTGAGCAGTTTGTTTCTAACATCACTGCAGCTAATAATAAAGGCAAACTTCAAGAAACTTCATATTTCTTCAGTATTTGTCTTATTCTGTAAAACTATTACCTAGTTGAGTTTAAAAGAGTCTTCCCACAGAAATCGGACTTTCTAATGTTAAGTGTGTTGTTGTGCTTTAATGAAAGCTTCCTGCAATATCTGGAGTGCTTTTTTTTTTCAGGTGGGTTTTTTTTTTTTTTTTTTGTTCAGATTTAGAACAGTTCTACTAGCTTGATTTTAGCCCTTTTCCTTTACATATTTACTAGAAGGGCACTAAAATTACCCTACTTCACTACCTCAATTCCCATCTCTCTTCATCCAATCAGGGAATCACCTGAGGCAGTCAGTACATGTTGCTAATTGGATAACTTGTTACTTATTGTGTAAGAGACCTGGATAAGATGGTAAACAAACCATGGCTAACCGCTAATGCTGCTAACGCTACATACGCTACATGAACAAGAATACAGATAAGTCAAATTTTTGTGCGTAGCAGTATGGAAAAGGTTCATAATGATCTCTAATAAAAAAAAAATTTCCCTCAAATGATTTAACATGAATTAAATGACAAAATCATAGGAATTGTTTAAGTAAAACAGCAGATTGTGACTCTTATAAAGAAAAGTAGAGCTCAATCCTGGGTTTAAGTCAGGAAGGTTGTTTCACCAGTCTGAGCTGATGAAGCAGAAGGTTGCTGTTCTCTAACAGTGCTGTCTGTTGATGGTAAGAGTAAAATAGTTTATGTGTGGTACTGTATCTCCAGGTCAATGCAGAGCAGACAGCCTCATCATGTTCACATTGTTAAAACAGGGCAGCTTTCATCTCTGTAGAGCAGCAGTCTCCAGGTTGTGGTCTTCAGATGTCTAAGCATCAACACACTTAAACTGAATGCCTGGATTGTTAACAGGACTCTACATAACTTTGCTGCAATCCAAGGAATTAATCCAACCATCTGATTCACATTTGTTGAACCAGGAACACACATGAAAGTTGAAGAGAGCTCTGCTGGGAACAAAATGGCTGTTAATGTTAGCTGACAGATGTTTTGATATAACCTTGGTTGTTTGGAGTTGATGATGTTTAGCATTGTGCTAGCAGCTTGAAGAACATTTTCTTTTGAATCGTCCTAGAAGATGATTCGTGAAGACTTGGACTCATCCTCTATCTGCAGCTCTCCCTCAACCTTCTCTGCTGCCTCCTGGTCTTCCTCTCCTGGTCCTTCCTTTTTCAGTATCGTTAAAGGCCACCATAAGGTGCCATTTCTCCTGTCCTGGTGAACTCTCCGTTCTGCTGGCCAACAACAGGGGGTGCCCTTATCTCCCGTCAGGAAGTAGAGCAGGGCGTTGAGCCAGGCGTTGCAAGACGCTAGTGGCCTTGTGACCTTGTAGCAGATGGAGACGGTCTTCATCGCGTTGCAGCCACCAAGCTGCCCTCGCCGCAGGAGCAGGAACAATGTCCGAGTCACATGGAAGGGCAAGAAGCAGAGTGCAAAAAGCAGCGTAATTGTTACAATGGTTTTGATGGATTTACGCCTTCTCCTGATGTAGTGAGAGTACTGGGAGCCAGAGATGGAAACTGAAGTTCTCTCCCGATCTCGAGCTCCTTCAACTCCTCCATCCCCAACTGCTCCATCCTCACCACCCTCTATTGAGCTGTGCGGAGACTGCAGGCTCTGGAATATTGTCCGGACCACCTGAGAGTAGCACCATGCGATTATGACGAAGGGCACAAAGAAGCCGATGAGATGAAGGACAATGCCATATGGGACATATTCAGCAAAGTCCTTATCGATGGCATCGTCCCAGCAGTTCATATACTTTTCCTCAGTCCTGTTGTCTCCAAGTTCCATCTCCTCTGGTCCAACAGCTCTTGTGCCTCCCCTCGTAACTTCTCCTGTCTGTGCAAACCTGAAGATAGGACAGGTGAGTACGAAGACCACAAGCCACACTGAGGCACAGGTCCCCTTCACCACCCGCTTGCTCTCTAGTGTGATGGTCCTCATTGGATGACAGATGCCCAGATACCTGTGGACAGATACAGTGTCAATTTACATGTAACTGATATTTCATTCTAACCCTGTGAGGGTAAAGTAGTGCTGATAAATGACTGCTTACTCTTTATTAATACCTGCTCTACACACTGCCATATAACACCACGAATGGAAGTTCTACAGTTACTTATGGTTCCAATATGCCTGTTCAAATTCCCAATATTTGGATTATTGTTGCACCACCCAGTCCTGTTGTGCAGTACCACAACGGAACTCCTGTCAAACCTTACCAACACTGATGTTTCTGCCAGATGTTTCTCACATTTGCTAAGGTAAGGCTGATATACACTCAGAAACCAGGTGGTCTGTGTGTGTGTCGCAGTGAATGCGAATGTGCCTCCGAACCCTGCCGCAGACACTCTGCCGCACCTCTCCAAAATCGTATTTGACCACAGACAGGAGGCATCTGATTGGTCAAATCTACATTCACTCTACACTATGAGTACTCCCCGTTTGGTACCTTACCGGCTTGTTTTTTTTTTTTTGTATGACCGCCATTGCGGGAAACGACTGGTGAAGATGGACCAGCTAGAAGATCGAGATGCGCCAGAACACTGGGACACTTTTTCCACCTGGATCCCCACTGTTTTTCGCCCTCATGTCCCTCCATTGCCGGACAAACTCGCCCCTACTTCTTCACTGCCTCAGCCTTATCTAAACCAACAGCTATTTCCTGATCATCCCTCTTGCGTTGTGGCATAGAATAACATAGCACAGACCACGCTACAATATTGGGCATAAAACAAAAATATCTGCAACAAGCTCACTGCAACACACTGCTGCAGTGTAACCAGCCCTGTACTCGTCAGATACTCCAAAACCTGCCTGTAAAGTGGGTAGCTTACTAATCGCCACACAAACCTTACCTTTTGAAGAACAAGACAATGGGATGCTTAAACTCTTCAGGTTGATGCTGTAGAAGTGGTATTCCAAATTTTTCCAGTTGAGGACCAGTTTTAAACATGTTAACCACTACAAAGACCTCAACATCTGCTGAGAGTAAGCTTGAGACCTAGATGTTCCCTCTTTTTCATTACTACACCTTAAAATTTGTCCATAAACACTTTAAACAGAACTAGGTGTTGAGAAAGTTCTAGTAAGGTCAAAGTTTTGCAGATACCACCCCATTGTCCTGAG